TTGAACAAGGTTATGAATTTGATGATCATTGAACCATGTAACAACAACATAGTGTAATCCTATAAATAGAATCTAAAAATATGATGTGAATACAACCTTACTCCTACCTTCGTGAAGGCACATCAAAATCTTATTTAAAACCATCTCATATCCAAACCTAGCAACTAAACTAGCATATGGTAGATGAATCACAAATACTAGGTAAATTTTTTAAACAAAATCCTTGCAGGGTCACCTTTGTTAGGTAGAAAACGTTTTTATAATTTTCTTGTGTTCGCTTGGTCAAAAAAAAAATTAAAAAATATTCCATGGCTTCCCTAATAGAAATAGGAAGAACAAGTTGCACAAGTGACATTCCACATTGATTGGTGTCTTCCCTAAGGCTGGCAAGGGGACGGGGACGGGGACTGGGGGACGGGACGAAGAGGGACGGGAAGGGACGGGGGACGGTTCTGGGGGGATTTGGCCGGGACCGGGATTGGGGGGACAAAAATAAGTCTCATCCCGTCCCACTATATATACGGAATGGGACGGGTTTTGGGGGGACGGGACGGGACGGGGGATTTTTTATTTTTTATATACTTATTTATTTGTATTGAAATTATATGTTATTGAATAACATTTTTAGTTTATTTGATTTTTTTTCAATAACATTTTTAGCTAATAAATAATGCTTAAGTTTTCAAATTTCAAATTTCAATTTCAAACTTCAAATTTCAATTTCAAACTTCAATTTCAAACTTCAAATTTCAAATTTCAAATTTCAAATTCAACATTCAAATTTCAAATTTCAAATTCAACTTTCAAATTTCAAATTCAACTTTCAAATTTCAAATTTCAAATTCAACTTTCAAATTTCAAATTTCAAATTCAACTTTCAAATTTCAAACTTCAATTTTCAATTTTCAATTTTCAAATTACAAATTTGAGAAGTTCAAATTTGTCTTTTAAATATTTTAAAGTAATTTAAACTTGAAATTTTGATTTTTAAATGAAGAAAAGGCCCCAAAAAAGAAGGACGTTATGTGCAATACTTTGAATTTTCCTTCTTTTAATTTTTTTGTTAATAATCTAGGTGTTAGTTGATGTATTAAAGTTCCATTTTTTAACATTTGTTCCTTATTATAAAATTTTGTAATAGCTAGTTCTCTTTTTATTATGTTCAACTATTTTCAAACAAATTAGTATATATGTAAATATGTATGAATATATTAAAATTAAAATGCAAGACAATAGTTATATAAAAAAGACTTAATAAAGCCTTCAAATTTATTCAATAAAATCTAATTGCAACTTAGAACTTAGAAGTTACAATTTACAAATATTAGTAGAGTAACTAATCTACGCAGCCACCTTCTAGGAAGGGTTCTGTTTCAATAAGTTCTCATATGTAAAACTAATATTTGTTACAAATATTAGATGAGTAACTAATTTACGCAGCCACCTTCTAGGAAGGGTTCTGTTACAATTAGTTCTCGGATGTAATATAATATTTGTATTTTCCTTTAAAATCCAATTCTAATTGTCGCATCATATCGACGGTAACATCCTCCGGTGTTGGCAAACTTGCTAGAAACTCTTGTGACTCTAATTCATCATCACTAGATCCAAGTACCGCATTAATCCAAGCTTCTTGTTTGGAACTTAACTTTGGCAAATTATAATTTCTCCTCTCGGCGTTGACCTAATCTCTAAATAAAACTGATATTTCCAAACTGTCTTCCGCCAATGAATGTCTATGATCGCCAAGTTGAAACCTTGCCGCACTAAAAGCAGCCTCTGATGCAACTGATGAAGCTTGAATAGCTAGAATATCACGAACCATTTTGCTCAAAATTGGAAATGCAACGCTCCGCCTCCTCCACCATGCTAATAATTCTTCATTGCCATCTTCGTCTTCCACTGTTTCTAAAGATTGATTAAGATATTCTTCAAAATCATCACGGTTAGTAGAATTAAGACCAAGAAAATCTCGCATATAACTTGAAATTCGAGCTTTACTCTGAGGATTAGAAGTTTGACCAACTTCTTGAGTATTTCTGTAGTTCTATATTTTTCATACAAAATTTTTGCTTCTACTTTTATGCTACACTTACACAGTTCACAAGTTGGATTTATTTCCGGTGAAATTTCTAAGGTATCATAAAAAGTGTCAACAAGTCCTTGCACACCTTGTAATTTATAGTCAAGATGAAGTAAAGTAGCACTTAAAAAAATTTGAGGAATAGGAAAAAAATATTTTAAAAAATTTTCAATCATACCTTCAATTGCAACTCTAAATTTTTCAATTTTCTTGTATTTAGAAAATTGAATTGAAATAGCACAAATATTTATTAATACTGATGAAATAGTAGGATAATAAATTCCAGAAAACATGATTGTAGCATCATAAAAAAGTCTTAAAAATTCTAATAGTTCATTAGTTTCTTCCCAATCTTCTTCACAAATTCTGTCTAATGGGTCAGCATTATGAGCATTAAACACCATTTGTATGGATCCTCTATATTCGTAAGCAACTGAAAACATTTCGTAAAAAGAATTTCACCTTGTTTTAATATGTCTTGGAATTTTTCTTGGTGGCAAATCACATAGTACACAACGCTCATTAAATTCCCTAATTCTAGCAGCTCTATTAGCATAAAAAATCCAGGCAGCAGCATATTCAATTTTCATACAACCACATTCAAATAATGAAATACCATCTTGTACAACTAAATTTAATACATGTGCAACACATCTAACATGAAAAGAATTATCATCAATTGGACATAATCTAGTTTTTAACATACTAGCAGCGTTTACATTATTAGATGCATTATCTAATGCGACAGACATTACTTTATCTATAAGCATGTAATAATCTATAACACTCAAAATATTTGAAGCTAAATATGCACCAGTTTTTTTCTCTACACATTCTTTATAACTTAAGATTCTTTTTTGCAAATTCCAGTTATGATTAATCCAATGTGCTGTAACAGTTAAATAATCACGTCCATTAACACTACGACCCATGTCCGAAGTTATAGACACTCTACAATCTAATATGCTAAACACACAACGAAGATATTGATAATGTTTACCTTGATATACAAAAACATCAGATTTAACAGTATTTCTTGAAAAACCTCTATAATTAGGATTATAAGTTTGTTGAATATATTTAATAAAACCGGGATGTGAAGGAAAACTATAAGGTAAACCACAAACAGAAACCATTTTAGCTAAATTTTCATGATCTCTTTCCTTATTATATTTATGTTGTGTTAGTGGACCACCGGGGTTAGAAGGGTCTAATGTTCCTTGAACCATGTTAGAAGCCCCTACGGATTCATTAACATTAATATCAAAATCATTAACTGGAATTCCTTTTTTTCTATTGGCTAATGATTTAGCTTCTTTATATTGAATCGGCACACAAGATAACAAATGTCTATTTAAGCCCCCCGTCCCACCTCGATCTCCACCTTGTTTATGTTTAAAAGGTTGCTTACATTTATTACAAATAACAATAGAATTTTCCTTATCTAAAGTCATAAATTGCCACACAACAGAAGTTTTAGGGCGCTGATACTTCACCTTCTCCCTTGTAGGAGGTATAAGGGGTGAGCGTCCAGAATTTTGCTCCGTTGAATTTGTAGTTTCATTTGGAACATTTGTCACCGGACTAGTAGGTGTATCTTCTAATTCATCTTCTCCCGAACCAACTTCTACTTCTTCACCTGAATTTTCATTAAGATAAGGATTAGTATCACCATAAATTTGTTGTAAAAGTTCACGATCGAGTTGAGCATTTGAATCAATATCATAAAAAGTATCATCAGCATAAGTAGAATCATTTGTATTAAATCTAACTCTAGAAGTACCACCACATTTACTCTTATTTTTTTCCTTACTACTTTTTTTAGTAAAATTAAATAATCTACTAATGCCACTTGGTTCTTTCTCTTTTCCTTTACCGGTATGTTTTTTGTTAGAACTCATATTTAATTATATGTAAAGTATAATATAAAAATAATAATAACACAAAAATTAATGACGAAAAATAAAATATAAATATTATGAAACGAATGTACCAAACGTCTGTGTTAATAGCGGACGTTATAACCGATTCTTGAAGCTTGTAGTTTGTTGTAACTTGTAACTTATAATTTGGAACTCCAATATTTGATAGCAAATATGAGAATTATATATATTATGATATATAATATGAAAACTTAGAATTGAAATATATGTATTATGATATAATATGAAACTTAAATGGAATAAAATATTGAGATTTGAGACTTAAGATTGAGACTTGAAAGGATATAAAAAATAGATGAGAGAATATATGATTTTGTAAGAAATAATAAGGGATAGAGGGGTATTTATAATATTAAAAGTGGGTTAAAGTGTATTTATAATAACTTGAGGGTTTAAAGTAAATTATTAAAAGTAGGGGTGGTAGGGGAAAAAAACCGTCAAAAAATCCGTTGGGGGGGCCCACTAGCCGTTGCCCAACGGATAGAAATTTATTTTTAAAAAAAATAAAAAATAAAAAATTGATAGGGGATCCCACGAACCGGCCAGTTCATCCGAGCCGAGTCAACTGGGACCAACGGGTGAACCGGACCGGTACCAGCCCCCTAATCCCGAAGGCCCCATCCCGCGAGACACAAACGGGACCAGGTCCGGCGAGCCGGTTCTCGGACCGGTCGCGGGCCGGGGCGGGCCGACCCGGTCCCCCTGCCAGTCCTAGTCTTCCCCACCATCCAACACACTTCATCTTCACTATTTTTTCAAATATACTTTATACCGCTCCATTAGTAAGATAATCATAAAGTGAAACATTTAAGGAAGAGATGTAGGATAATTTGCACAAGTACTCTGACAATAAAACTATTAAATGTCTTTCTCAAGGAGAATGTAAAAGAACTTCAAAGATAGGTAATATAGACATTAAAGTACTTGGACTCGAGCCATTTATATAATGGCATTTTAGGAATTTAAAGCTACTGTTTGCCAATTGACACAAGCAAATGCACCAACAGTTATTACATCTAGTAAGTAATATTCGAACAAACAGACGCAACTCATTGCATCAGAACAAAGAGGAGGACAGACATCTATAGCAACCATACAGCTTCAAGCCCACAGTGCTACCAACTAACACCCTTTATGCAGCGACCGCCTAGTCAGTCACCAGATGCTGATGTTGTTGTGCACTACACTACCTCAGCACGGAAAAAAGTGGCTGTTACACATTGATCAAAAACAAAAGGTGTACCTTGAACTACGAGTAGTTAATACTTAATAACAAGTAGAATCTACTCAAAATAGAGAAAGATGCCGATCACAGTTCCACAACCATCTCTGCCTTGGACAGCAAAGGTTAAGAGTAGCAAGTGCTCCTTTGAGAACATGAAATTACAAGTATCCTTGAAGTTTTCACTTTTCTTCTCCTCCAACATCATTCCACAATAGGACCACTCCAATTGTAATAGAACAGCATGAGACTAGAAAATCAGGTTTAGCAGAGACAGCAGAACGTTCAAATAAATTAAAATTCGTCATCTTTAAAGTTAACAGCAAGATCCCAGTAATGGGGAACCCCAGCATCAGCAAAAACTTTACGAGCAGCAGCCTCAGTCCTGCAGTCATAAACAAAAAACCTATGGAAGCTTGATTTAGCAACACTCCCTTGCCAGACCAACACGCACTTGTTGAGAGGCTTATCTTCATCTTCACCTTCACCTTCATCATCTTCTTTCTTACCAGCAGCTGCCCAATCAATTCTTCTAAGCATAAGTTTCCCATATCGCTTGATTGATTTTTTCCCACCTTCAACAACAACAACACTAATACCTCCTGAGATCACTGCACACCCAGTCAAACGATTCTCCTGCGCGTTAACATCCACCTTGAAGCGGGTTTGTGGGTGGGAGAGGTCATTAATTTTGTATACTGAAACAATAGTCTCCGGTGCGATATTTGAGTCATCAAAAAGTTTCCTCTCTTTCTTCTCTCGACGCTCATCAGGAGTAAGCTTACGAGCAATATTCCTGTCTACATGAGCCTGCTCACGCTCAGCAGCAGCACTTCTGATCTCCATTTCAAGCTTTGTAGGATCCTGTGTGGCTTCTGAGCCAAGAACTTTCATTAGATTGCTCATTTTAACTTTCGGCTTTGGTGGTTCCACCAGGCCTTGTCGTATCATTTCTTGTCTTTCTTTCTCTCTGGCCAATCTTCGCTGAGTTCGAAGTTTCTTTTGCTCCTTTTTGGTTAGTTTCAATGGTTGGGGAGGAGGTGGAGCTGGTTCAGCAGGTGGCTCAATAGGGCGAGGATGTTCAACATATATGGTGATCCTTTCAATCTTCAACTGTTCGTTAGTTACGTTACCATCAACAACATCACCATAAGTACCAGATCGTAACAGAGGAGCATCCCTGGCAGGTCAAGGCAAGAAAATAAGGGCAAGCACAAAAGAAACAGTCATTTCAAGTTATTTTCAGACTATTACACAACAAAGAAAACCCTAACCTCTAGTCAATATTTCATTATTTTTCAGCTCCAGAAATTTATCACAGGTTTAGCATAGGTAACAGAAAGAACAAACCAAAGAGGCTTGCAACATCACAAGAATATTACAATCCACATTACAGGTATTCGTGCAGAGAGTTCTGCAGAAAGATATAGCCAGAGGAAGGTGGAGTAATTTCATGTGGATAGGTTGCATAATGCACGTTCTTTCTTTATTCCTTATCTTGGTGAAGCATAGATAGACAGATCACAGAAGCACATCGGGATCTACCACCTACCAAGATGCTCTCATTTTACAGTTAACATCAAGACCACCAGTTCAAGCTCCTGAGCCACACTGTGGCCCCAACAATGAGAACTCAGGAGACATACAAAAGTTTACTAGAAAGCAAAACAATATTGACATTGAAAAACATTTAGATCAACTTACCACCACTCAACATCAGGAATAGGTTCCTTCTGTTTTTCCTTGGCAATAACCCTTTCCGATACCTCAATGAGATTCGGATTTATGTCAGGCTCTGCTTTAGCCTTGGTCAACTGTGCTTGCTTTGCCTTTAGCTCTTTAGCTCGTGCTTCACCAAATTGGCTCTGAAGACAAATGTTGCAACATGATCAAAACAAGTATAGGAAGCAACAACAGAGAATGAGCACTGAAGAAAACAAAAAACAGCAGCAGCAACCATAAAAGAGGGCAGAGCCCAGTGCATGAAGCATCCTGTGTAGGACCCGAGGAAGGGACGTACCCCAATAGCAGCAGCAACCATAACAGGGAAAAGTTAAATACCTTTAACTTGATTATCTCTGCATCTCTGGACCATTTGCCTTCCTCCACAAACTGAAATGTCATCCTCTTGGGCCTCAAAATTTTGTTCTTGTCAATTCCCATGCCTGGATCATAATGAGGATTTTTCTCAGGATCAACCTCAAGTTCAGGTTTGAGAATTTGAAATGCTTCTTGTTTCTTTTTATTGATGTTCACCTGCACATATACTCCAGGTTAAACACAGAAATTCAAACAAAATATAAAATATGAGAATGGACAGCCAGAACAAAAATGAGCCATACCTTAAGGGTGCTCGATGGCTTAAGCATATTGACAATATTTCCCTGCTCATCGATTTCCCTACCAAGGGCATCCAATCGAAGAACAGGGGCCTTTGCAGGCTTTGGCTGAAGGGTAACCTCTGGTGGCATTTGCCCTGGAAACATGTTTATGAGGGGAGCAAATTCTGGGTCCTGTCGGAATCCCATCTTAGCAGCAAGTTCCTGTGCACGCTTTACTGCTTCATATTTTTGAGCTGTGAGCCCCATAAGATGAGGCAAACCACTAGATGGTGGATTGGATGCACTTGGTGCTGAACCAGGAGGTAGCAATACCCCTGCATCTGAAGATGCAACTGGAGTAGGAAAAATCCCTGCATTAGCCGAAGGTTGAAGGCTCTCCTTGGGTCCCACCTGTGGAAGTCCCTCTCTTGTAAAGTTGGGACCCTTGTTCTTGTTTAACTACATGACAAAAATGAGCACAGTTACAAAGACTATGATATGTTTATAGCAAAGTGGAAACTCTAATCTTCCGTTTATATCCTTTTGCTCTCCCACACCCCCAAACCGTCCCCGGGAAAGGGAACCAGGATCGGGAGCAAAAGAGATCCAACAACCAAAAAGAAAAACAGCGTGCAAAACAGAAATGTACTAGATATTTGTAGCAACTTACTGCAGGTATCTTCTTGTACTTTTGAGTCAACTCCTTTTGCATTTGTAAAGCTCTCTTCGCTTTTGCTAAAGCATCAAGGGATAAGCTCCCACTCTTGCCAGCACCAGAAACTGTCCCATCTGTACTAGATTTCCCAGGAATCTGATGAGATCCGTTAATATTAACTCCCTTATTTTCATTTGTGGTAGAAAGCAAAGATACCTTGGTAGCTGGAGAATCACCATGAGCCAAGTTGTTACCAGGCAAAGTCCTTGATGTCACATTGTATGATCCCATTGTCTCACCCTGAAAAGTAAGGTCAGGGAAAAATCAGCACAAAAATCCCAGAGAGCACTAAAGTGTCACAAACAATGAAAGGAACGTGTATTCATCTCAAGATACAACAAAAAAAAAAATGAACAGCACTTCTCAATCAGAAGGAAAAAACACAACAGCAAAGACATGGGCAAGTCAAATAAGCTATCCAAACCTTCCAAGGTTGAAGACTCAGTCCCGAGCAGAGCATTACAATAATTCCATGTGACAATATGACAAAAGAATTTTATCGACTGAATCTCTTAATCAGAAGTGAACCTTTAAAACAATGGTGTTTTTGAGAGCGCAAAGCACAAAAAGAGACTACGCCTGGCCAAAATAAACCTTGCACAGACAGAATGTATATAATCACAATTTTAAAACTGAAAAGTAGATGGCAAAAAGTTCATCCATAGGACAAGCAAATCAAAACATAAATGGATCATCATCCTACTCTTCTACAAGATTGTCAAAACCAATTAGCTGTAGCAACTTTTGCCCTTCCTATGTCCTTTAACCATAAATGTTCTCAACTCCACTTCCTCTGCAACACCAAGTGAAATCAGAATCTTCACCAAATACTTCTTCATCTTCATGATTTTCAGGGACTTCACTTAACCATTCATTAGTCTCATCAATATTGTCAAAAACAAATCCAATCCTTTGTAACAACGCATCAATGTTTTAATTTGTATCTAATATACACCAGATCATTGAGACACTTTAGGGTTGTGGCAAGTAATTATGTAGCATCCCAATTCCTAACCACTTGTTTTGAATAATCACATCATGTTCCTTGATTTAGCTCCTCCTAGGTTTAAATATGGTTTTTGGACTTGTTGGGGATGGTTTCTGTTTGGCACCCAAGGGGCTCGGGTGAGTTTAGGGCAAGAAATTACCCTTCAACATGTTGCAGATTTTATTTGTCTAGTGCAACCGCAATTGCAGAAATGGCCTCACAATTGCGACACTACAATTACGGATTCAGTCATACAATTGCAAATTGCAATTGCGGAAATAGCCATGCAATTGCAAGGCCAGCCAGATTGTAGCATGATGCATTGCGAGCTAGCCATCAGAATTTCATAAATGGTTGTGACATAAAAGGGATTGTTTCCGAAATTTTTGACATTCCAACAAAATTTTGGACGACCTAGGCAACAAATTGGAGGGCAGTCCAACTTGGAATCCATATACCAAACCCTAGCGATTATACATGATTCTTCACTAGATTTTTTTATCAAAACTATGAAATAGAATGTCGAAATTGGAAGATTTGGGTCCAAGCCCTAGAAACATCTAATTGAGAATTTGATGTAACATCTAATTGAGAATTTTGTCATCAAAAAAAAAAAACATCTAATTGAGAATTTTACATCAATATGAAGTCAGATTAGAAATCTTATTTAATATTAGGACTTGTAGGGTTATGGAAATCCCGAAACGTAATTTATTTCAGAGTTTAACCACAAATCTCGAGGTTGTCTTTTTTGGGTTAACTTTGACTTTGGCCTAAATCTAGAAATATGGAATTGACATTAATGGATCAGACCACAATCCCCTTATACCTTCAAATTCATGCCACAACTCAGTTCTTTCATGGTTAGTATGAGGTCCATATACGCCAGAGAAAACCCATTTGAAATCATCTACTAAATTAAACGTTCAAATCTACAGGAAAGAGAAAATCCCAGCTTCAAAATCAACACATTTCCAGGCTCTTTTGTCCCACATAATTAGAATCCCCCCTTTGGTGCCAAGTGCTTTGAGTTCTGCCCAATCAATCCACCTATTCCCCCAAACCTGCCTGATCGGTGAAATGTTCCATTCCTCTATTTTAGTCTCCTGAAAACAAATGATGTTTATCCCCCATTTGTGAATAAGAGATTTCAAAGTGCTTCTCTCATCATTATTGTTGAGACCCTGCACGTTCCAGATAAGAAGCTTTACTCCCATCTTGAGTGAGCTTTTTTGAGACCTGCCCATTTCCTTCTTTCTGTTTTTTCAACAATCAAAAAGAAAAACAGCGTGCAAAACGGAACTGGAGTCGCTGAATTGGAGCCTATATCTATAAAAATGCCAAAGAATGCTCTTCAACTTTTTTCTTAAAAAACAAGTTCCAACTTTATTTTTTCTTCCATTCAGGTCCTCTATTTAAATGCAAAAATGAGGCAACAACTTCCGCGCCGATTGAAAATCCAATTAGCTACTAAACTTACATTTTCTTAATTAGATTTTTAAGTGGTAGATTTCTAATTAAGAATCACTTTGATAAATAATATTTGAATTAATTCAAAACTAACAAATTTACTAACTATTATTTAGAAAGTAATTTAATTATGCTTAGTAGACAACTAAAGGATCAAGATAATAACTTAGACCAATAAAATAGTTCTTTTTAAAATGATCATAAAGGGCTGGCAGTAGCCGCAGAGATTCGAACCTGCACCCACATCTTGTTGTGTCAAGGGTGTCTAAACTATGATATTTAACTGTTGAGGGTAGCATTTTATTTATATACAGGGTATAATTTTCAGTGAAGGGTGGTCTGCCTGACCACCTTAGTACACTGTAGCTCTGCTACGCTACTAGTGAACCATGGTTTGAATATCTAAGATGAAAAGGCAAGGTAATATTATTTTTTTCTTCATCTGCCTGAGCCCAGTGGACATATTAGGGAATACAGTTACTGGAGAAAGTACCATGAGGTGAACACCACAGTTGTGTATTATTTTTATATATATGGCAGCAAGAAATAAGCAAAATAAGTTTAAAATGATGAATAATATGCATTAGGTAACACACCTTAGCAATGGAACCAACAGCCTGATCCTGGACATTATCAGTTGGCTCTTTCTTAGAAGTTGTCATTTGAAATCCACCTCCCCTCCTTTCTTCATCAACTTCCACATCCTCCTCCTCCTCCTTTGCTTTATCCTCAAACCTCCTTTTCTCTCTTCTCTCCTCATCCTTATCCCTCCAATCTCCATCATCAACTCTCCGCTTATCCCTACCATTGTCGTCCTCGGTCCTCCTCTTGTCAGAAACTCTAGGTCTCTTGTCATCCGCATTGCTTCTATCAACACTTTCTGCTCGGTCTTTCCTCTTATGCGAATGCTTTTTCTCCAGTGCTTCCTCCTTCCTATCATGGTAATGAGATCTTTCTCGGCTTCCCTCTCTCTCAGATCGGTGATGTCCGTCTTCTGATCGATGCTTGGAACGATGGTGATGATGACGGTGGTCATCTTCATAGTGCTTATCCTTGGAACTACGGTGTTTGTCTCTGTAATCCCTACTCGATTTCTCTTTCTCAGCCATGTCTATGAGATGTTCGATACGATTAGGGCACACGCATACAGTTTATATTATCTTTCGTCAAATACATGATCCGCCGGGTCGGGTTTTAAGAATCGACACTTCCCTTTGTTTAACACCTATAATATATATATATATATATATGGAGATAACGGTATGAAAAAAAAACTTCAACTTTGGTCGGATTTGTTGTTGCGCACTAAACTTTCATAAGGACATAATAACTCCCTAGACTATTTAATACCGTATTTTTACCCCTTAACTATTTAATAGTGTATTTTAAAGGTATATATGTGCCCACGTGGACACATTACTATTTATAATTTTGCATTATTTTTTATGTCCACGTGGAAAAATATATATGTTTAAAATACGGTATTAAATAGTCTAGGGAGGTAATAGGTTCTCATGAAAGTTTAGTATCGCAACAGCAAATCCGAGCAAAGTTGGATATTTTTCAAACTCTTATCTCATATATATATATGTATAGAAAAAAAATTAGGGATATTTTTTACCCATATAAAAATAGTTTATAAATAGTTTATAAATAAAGCTTTGAGACTTGTTTTTTTCTCTGAGCCTCAATTTTACTATAAACAAAATCAAGTGTCACGTTTTATATCTGATCCTAACGCAATAGATATTTGATGTTGATGAACTGCACTGAAAGCATGTTTTATATCTGATCCTAACCCTTATGTTTGACTTAATAACATGTTTCTAATATTACGTTCACCTTCCTTATTTTGAATTTTTTGCAATAATTCTTTTAATATATTTATTAAAAGAACAATTTTTAAATAATTAAATTGTAATGAATAAAAAGTTAATACTCTAGACATGAAAATATTCTTTATTTTTTTCTACAATAATATGTCGTTCTTTTCCTACTCATTTGTTGTTGCTCTCTTCAATCTTCTTATCGTCTTCGTTTTTCTCTTTAAAAGTAACAATCTTCCGCTGAATCTTTTTTCTTTTAAGAAGAAGAAATCTAAGTAGGAATTCTTGCTTATAATATATGTTTTATAAATTTTATGACTTTGCTTATAGGTATTTAGTATTTTGTTTAATTGATGTTGATGAAGTATCTTGGTTAAGAGCAATAAGGCCTCTATGGGTATTCAGAAAGAGATGATTAATTTTTTGGTTTTATTCAGTGTACGGTATCTAGCTCTTTGAATTTCAATTTTTAATTTGCATTAAGAAGTTTTATTTTAAAATAAAATATTCTTTTTTAACGATGACTCGTGATTAAGGCTAGCCACCGGAACGGGTTGTACTGGTGCCGTTCCGGTACCATTCGGTCCGGTAGTATTAGGAACGGGATGAGATACATTGAATCGGTACACGAAACGGAACGGTATCATGATTTGGTACTGGTTCATCCCGGTTCATTCCGGTTCCGGTCCAGTCCGGTACCGGTAAGTCATTTTTAATTAAAATAAAAAATAATATTTTTGTCATTATTTACTTTTATTAGCATTTTTCTTTTGTTTATTTAATTTTTTAAAATTACAAACTTAAGTTATTTAACTTACAAGTTATAAGTATAACTTAATAACTTATAAACTTCAAAAGATTCAAATCTTTAAAACTTATAACATAACTACATAAGCTCAAAAACTTAAAACAAAAACTTTATTAAACTTAACTTACAAACTTATATACGTAAAAATTTAAAAAAATATATATAAAATAAACTTAAGTAAAACTATTATAAATTTTAAACCTTAAATACTATAAACTAATATAACTTAGAAAAATAAAAAAAAACATTTGTATTTTCGTAATTCAAAATAACTCAAAAAAAATTATTATTTTTTGAAATAACTATATGTGCCGTCCCGTTTATCCCATCCCGTTCCGTTCCGGTCCGTCTCGATTCTATCCCGATATATAGTGGGATGGGACGAAACTGAGCCTCCATCCCGGTAGTTCCGGTCCGGTTCATCTCGGTACCGGTCAACAACCCGGTCAAACCGTCCCGTTCTGGTCCGGTACCGGTTCGTTCCGGTCTGGTGGTCCCATTCCGGTCTGGTGCCCAGCCTTACTCGTGATCTCCATTCGTAGGATTCAAACCCAAAATCTCTTTTTTTATGGATAACAATATGGAAAAATTATCAAACTAGTCAAAATTAGCAATTTATTTATGAAAATTGACTACAGTTTCAAAATATTACAAAAAAGAGCAATATGTTGTTTTTATAGCAAACACTTCTGCTCTCTCCCTTGCCTTTCCTCCCTATCTCTTGCCCTCTCCTCTCTCGCTCACTCTCGCTTTGTCCCCTCTCTCACTTGCCTCTCCTCCGTCTTTCTTTCCCTCTTCTCTCTCTCGTCCTCTCCCCCCCCCCCCCCCCCCCCTCTCTCTCTCTCCTCCCAATAAGAAGAAATACATTCAAATTTGTTATTATCAATTGTATTCAATCAAATTTAGGTGAGAGCTTTGTATTTTATTTCAAAATTGTATTTAAAAAACTCCAAAAACTGTATTTTATATTTTTTGTATCGATTGTATATATATTCATACGAATACAATATGCATTCATCATCTCTGTCAAATGTATTTGTATCCTATTAAAGAGAGGATGAATACATTTGTGTTCGTTGTATTTCGAATACAATTGATACAAAATAAATACATAATCTAATGCAAAAAAAATAGAAAATACAACTGATACAAAATAAATGTTGCTTCCAATTGCACATGCAAGTGTACGCGGTCGCATAAGTAATATAGTGGCTATAAAAGAGCTGAATTATTAACTCAAAGGAATTGTCGATTAACTATTTTACTAAATTATATTAGTCTAATTATTTATTCAAGATGTCAAAAGAGTTTAATTTATATTTAAATACTAAGAATACAAGAATGAAATAATAAAATTACTTACAATGGTTGGAAAATTTCAGGACTGCAACATGCTTAAGGTTTTATGTAACACATCTCATGTAATGAATTAACTACGGTTATCAAATTACTGATTTACAAGGTTAATTTTACGATCATGATCTCCCGACCTCTAGTCGCCTACTCCAATAGACAATGTGTTTATATCTATGGTGATCAAGCATGAAATACTAAAACAATTTAAGCGATAACCAACACTAATTCAAACAATCGATGTTCAGCAATTACCTGTAGTCGCAGCCCCAAAACAAGGGTCTTTAGCTACTAATGTCTAAGAAAAGAAGAAGTAGAAGAAAAGAACCCTAAAAAGTATTATAGCTACAAAGTATGATAAAGAAGTTCCTCCTCACAAAATATCCCTAGGATCCTATTTATAGAGTTTAGGAAAAAATAATTCCACTTCTAGTCCAATTAGGAATCCTAAATAAACTAAAATTTGTTCGGAAAGTTGGGGTTGGCTAGGGGCAGTGCGCCACCATAGCGCCAGGACTGTTGGGGCAGCGCACCAGCAATATGCCTGAACTTGGCTCCAGTAGTTTAGGCCCTGGCGTGGTATGCCAAGACTTTTCCAGGTGTGTTTTTCTTCACGCTCATTTTCCCTCGCTCATGTCGCCTCCTATTTAGCTCATATTCCTTTAGAAACCCATGCATATGTTAATCATGTAGGTTAGTGTGCATTTATTGTAATTCCCAATCAAAACACAATCAATATCATCAAGAATGTCCTCGAAACATAAGGCACATGAAGGTAAATCGTAGTAAATGGGCATATAAATATGCCCAAGATTAATAAATACAAAATACAATCCTCTCTACTCCCTCTCTCCATCTCGCTCGCCTCTCTCCTCTTAATATGTATTCATTTTGATACAAATTAGTTTGTATTTGTATTCTTTTTCTCCAAAATTAGAGAAAAAAAATACACTCTCTCCTTTCTCTCCCAGATCTCGCTCGCTTCTCTCCTTCCTCCTCCCCTAACATTCCTTTCTCTCCCAGATCTCTCTCGCTTCTCTCCTCCCTCCTACCCTAACATTTCTCTATTATCCAATATTAAGCAAACTATAATTACAGAGTCCTATTTAATGTTAAATGTTTACTATTTTGATAAATTTCCCTAAAATTATGCCTTTGCAACTTTTGATTATCACAAAGATAATCACATTAATACTTTTCAATTTCATTGTTGTCAAAATAATTAGAAAATTTGTCAGATTTCATATTTTCTAATTGTTAATTTAACGCTATATATTTCATATACCAATTAAGAGTTACTGACAATTTGATCAAAAAGTGGGTTAGATTATGTTTCCATAAATTCAAAACGTGGTGAACATTCTAGGATTTGGATTTTTTCTTCTAACTAAACTTTTTGAACAAGAAATTTACAAAAGTAAATATTTTTTTAAAATAAAAAATAATATGAATAAGAATGAATTAGTCATATTATAATTATTTTTATCAAGACAAATTGATTAAAAGAATTGTTACAAAGAAATCAAAACAAGGAAGATAAATGTAATATAACAAAATCACAAGGGAGGTCAGTTTTATGGAGTCAAATCGATGAACTCTTGGGGATCCTCCTCTACCTTTGAACCATAAAACTCTGAAGGATTCATCCTAGTAAAATCTCAAACCCTAGCCATTGTTGTTCCATTCGGGTTAGCCCGTGCAATAGCATGTTGATTGACCTGAGTGGTTATGGCATGAGCCGACGCTTGGAAAGCATCCCTAAACTCGACATGAGAAACTTGCTCATTCAAGGGGTCTGTTAGAGCTTGCGGTGCTTGTTAGTTCTTATTCTTATTTCTTCTAACGTAAGCTTTTTTAGGAGGCATGTTATGTAAATATGTAAAGCACGAATTAGAACATAAGAAGGTTAAATAGTGTTAAACTCTATCTCACGACTGAGAGCATGAAAGAAGTGAAGTATTTCCTAAATTATTTCATAGCTTTTTATTCATAGATGTGGCGCGCCTCACACCCATGAATAAGACTCTACTTAACACGACTTTCAAACACCCTAGGAAACTTACACCTGATGCTTTGATACCAAGTTTTTCACTATCTTAGACTACCCCTAGTTGTAATATGGTGCTTAGATCCACAAGT